ACAGAAAAAATGTGCTATATACACACAATGGAATACTATTCAGTCTTTAAAAGAAGGAAATCCTGTCATTTGTGACAACATGATTAATCTGAAGAACATTATGCTAAGTGAAATAACCTAAGCACAGAAAGAGAAATACCACTGATGTCACTTACATATGGAATCTAAAAAGGCTGAACTCACAGAAATAGAGAGTAGAATGACAGTTACCAGAGGCAGGGAGATAGGTGGAAAAGGGAGAGAGAATGGGGAGTAGTTGATCACAGGGTACAGAGTTTCAGTTGGAAAGGAGGAATAAGTTTTGAGATCTGTTGTGCAGCAAGTTGACTACAGCCAATAATAATGTAATGTGTACTTCAAAAGGACAAAGAGTACATTTTAAATATCTCACCATACAAAATAATAGGTAAATGAGGTGATGGTTAATTAGATTGATTTCATCATTCCATAGTGTATGGATATATTGAAACATCATACCATACTTCATAAATATATATAATTATGATTTGTCAATTAACAATACTATTAACTCAAAAATTAAAACATTCTTTATCTTGAAGTTCATTTACATAGAGTGAATTGTACAGATCAGCATATGGTTTTATGAGTCCTACTGTGTGTGCCTTTCTGGCTTCTATATGTAGAATTCCTATCACCCAGAAATTTACCTTGTCAATCCCTACCACAGTTCTGGCAACCATGGTTCTGATTTCTATTACCATGTATTAGTTATGCCTATTGTAGAACTTCATATAGAACATCCAGGTGTTTTTTTGGGGGGGAGGGGTACTTGCGATTAAACTCAGGGGCACTCAACCACTGAGTCACATCCCCAAGCCCTATTTTGTGTTTTATTTAGAGACAGGGTCTCACTGAGTTGCTTAGCACCTTAACAACCTTGCTGTTGCTGAGGCTGGATTTGAACTAATGATTCTTCTATCTCAGCCTCCTGAGCTGCTGGGATTACAGCCATGCGCCATTACACCTGGCAGTTGGCAGAACATCCAGTTTTTAAAGATAACTTTAAACTAAACTTTTACAAAAACATTTTTAATCTTCAATGGTGGAAAAGAATACTGATTTTTAAGGAAACAATGTGCAGACCCAAAACAGAGAGGCTAACCTCAATGCAACAACACAACCACTGTGTGTCTGTTCTACAGTATGAATGATTTGTACAAATTCATTAAATTTCTCTCATGAAATAACCTGATGGGTTTTATTCTTTAGCAATTAGGAGCACATTCCTTAAAACAGGAAGGGCCAGCCTTATCTTCAGGGAACAAGAAATGAAGAAAAGGGAGAGTGGAGCCCACTCCATAGTCAGTCCTGGGGGAAAAGGAACTTCAAAGGAAATACTGAGAAAAGTCCAGTTTGGTGGGGGAAAATAAAAGCTAAGGGAATGTTTAGAGGCAGTAACACAGAGGGAACAGAACACAGGGCTGCTATTATTTTGATCAAACAGCAGGAAACCCTATCTTCTCATCATCCCTTAGGAATCCCACTGACAGGCTGGGGCTGGGGCTCAGTGCACTTGCCTAGCATGTGTGAGGCACTGAGTTCAAATCTCAACACTGCATATAAAAAATAAATTAAATAAAGGTCCATTGTGAACTTAGGAAAACAAAACAAAACAAAACAAAACAAAAAAAGAATCCCACTGACAAGGCACTACAAGGCCCTAGATGCTCTTCAGCATCCTCCCAAACTCCTGTCCACAACTGCTCCTTTCTTGGCTGACTTTAAAAAATTTCCCTCTATCTCTCACCTTGTCCCTGGGCTCCAGCCACAGGGACTCTCTTGCTGCTCTCTGACCGTGTCAGGCACACTTGACTCAGGGGCTCTGTCTGGAACTCTACTCCCAGATAGCTTCATAATCTTTTCCTTTACCACCTCCATTCTAGCTCCATATAACTTATTCACAGGAAGCTTTCTGTGAGCATTGATTAAAAAATTGTACTACGAGTCCACCACGCTTTTTCCCCAGCTTTGCCTTAGCATTTTCATCATCTAACCTATATTACATTTTATTTCTTTATTTTGTCTTCCCTCCTCCATTCATGAGAATGGAAACTACAGGAAAATGGCATTAGAATTCATTAAATATTTGTTGAATGAATGAGTGAATCAAGGCAGAAGGAAAGAGAGGAAGAAATGAAAAACCCTGCTACCTTTGGAGATTGTTGTTAAGAGTGCTCAATAAAACAGGAACTAGTTAAGAAATTCTATCATTTCTCATTATTTTATATTTTATTGTTTGAGGAACTAAATCAGTAGATGAATGGATTAAAAAATGTGGCATATATACACAACAGAATATTACTCAGCAACAAAAGAGAATAAAATCATGGCATTTGCAGGTAAATGGATGGCTTTGGAGAAGATAATGCTAAGTGAAGTTACCCAATCCCCCCAAAACAAATGGTGAATGTTTTCTCTGATATAAGTGACTGACTCATAGTGGGGTAGGGAGAGGGAGCATGGGAGGAATAGAGGAACTCTAGATAGGGCAGAGGGGTAGGAAGGGAAGGGAGGGGGCAGGATGTTAGCAATGATGGTGGAATGTGATGGACATCACATCCAATTCATTCATCTTCATTCAATTCATGAAGACATGAATTGGTGTGAACATACTTTATATATAAACAGAGATATGAAAAATTGTGTTCTATATGTGTAATAAGAGTTGTGATGCATTCTGCTGTCATATATTTAAAAAATAAAAGCAATTAAAAATTTAAAAAAGTTAGATGCATTGGAGAACAAATGTTTATATGTAAACATATTAATGAGTCTTTGAGTTTAGCAAATTTTTATCATTGTTAAGGTTATGGTGACAAATCCATCTTTTCCTATTGCCTTTATTCCTACCTTAATTCATTTTAAGAAGCAGGTAAAGAATAAATTATGAAATAATAAAACAGCATGTGCCAATACCATAAAATCTTTGGGAACAATGATCAGTGAGAAAGACATAAAATCAATGCAATGCTAGAATTTTATTTATGCATTTTTTAAATGGCGTTGGGTAAACCAGCTCTAGGTGGCTGGCAAGGTGGAGGCTGAGCTGGTTCTGTAGATATGCACTGGATTTTTAAAATCAGGGATGGGCAGCTCCTCTGAGATACAAAGGCAAAGAACTTCACTGCTGGTAGCTTTCCACTCCAGAAAAAAGTATTCTCCAACAAATACTAATACTAAAATATCATTTAGTATTCAGTCAGGCCCTGGTATTGGTGAACACTAGATTATATCAAGTGTTTGAGGCCACCAGCTCACCCTTGGAGCTACCATTCCACACACTGCATATGGAAGACTGCAGGGAACAAGCAGGAATCAAGGGCCAGAAGTCCACATTCACCAACAGAGCAAATAGGATATGATGATTTGCCTACATCATAGAAAGCTTGAAAACAAGTTTGTAGCAGATTAACCCAAAGAGAAGTTCAATATAATTCCCTGTAATGCACGTGCCTCTTACCCTGGCTTAATCCTTCCCATTTTTTGTCAACTCATGTCCTTCTCTCTGACATGCCTTTGAGGTATTTTCAGATATGTAAAAGGAGAAACAAAGAGCAGGAAAGACAAAGATCATGGATTAACACTTTAATAACTTATATCTTTATAGCAAGAATAGTTTTCTAAGTATGAGCATCTATAGAGGTTTCAATGTAAACCGCAACAAGATTAGGTCCCCCGAACAAGTAAGTAAACAATGTGCTCTTTTTTTTCCCTCTCCCAGTTCTGGTAACTCGATAGTCTGATTACTTGAGAAGGTTTGAGGATCTTAGCTCACATTTCAGCTACAATCAAGGTGATCATCCTTATCCCTTGTTGACACCTTTCTTCCCTACCCCAACAAGTCACAGATCACTTCTAGGAGACAATTTCAAGAAGCTATTAAACACTGGCATGGATACCTAGAAAAGAGATGCAATCGTCCCAGGGGGCCTTTTGGAACAGTGGATCATTTTAGATAGGCAGAGTTACATCTAATTCAGCCCATCAAAATGTACCAGGAGCTGAAAACTCAAAGCACTCTGGGTGGTGAAAAGGAGCAGTCCCTTCCCTGAATTCACTGAAATGTCTTGGTCTGGACTGCTGCTTACAGGGCATAATTCAGGCTTGGTTACCCTGAGTGTAGGTAATGCAAGGGTGAGATAATATGTAACAGATTTTTTGGGGGTCTGCTTTCTGTCCTAAGATTACAGAATCTCAGAATTGGTTCTTTGTGATTATTTAACCCAGTGATTCTGATTCTTGACTGGATATTATTATTTCCTGGAGGAACTTTTAAAAGATGTCTGGGCTTACCTTAGTCCAATTAAATCAAAATCTTTTTCTTTTTTCCAAATAAACTTTCAAGTGATGAAAACATAATGGGCCTACCTACATACTAGTAGCTGAGAAACACAGGTACCATATGTCAGCCTACTTTTTTTTAGAGACAGAGTGTCACTGAGTTGCTTAGTGCCTCACCATTGCTAAGGCTGGCTTTGAACTTGCAATCCTCCTGTCTCAGCCTCTTGAGTCACTGGGATTACAGGTGTGCGCCACCTCGCCCAGCTGCCAGCGTACTTTTATACATAGCAAAACCAAGGTCCAAAGAATTTAATTGACTTGCCCAAGATCATATGCCTAGCTACCCATGTCTAGAAGGGCCTGGATTAAAGCCATGATCTCCATGAATTTAAACATCTACCAATAATATTCTAGACTTGATTCTAGACCAGTCGCAAATTGCCAGTCAAGAATAAGGTTAGCCAAGTCTGGTTGATATCTAAGTTATATATCAGGATCAGTTAAGCTGATCCTGACCTAAGTTCAAAGGTAAGGATAAGGTATGAGGATTCTGGCATTCTCTTTTATATTTTTCTTCCAAATAGTGGTGTATGAATCACACCTCTGGAGATTTAAGGATCCCTTTGCTCTAGATTAAATTTGTTACTACCTATGTCCCACTGTCTCATTTTACTAATTCCAGAAGGCCCTTTACTTACCCAGATCCAATGTGCAGTACAAGAGGCAGGGGACAGAATCCCCAGCTGGGAGCTCAGTGAAGTTTAGTGAAACCTTGATTAGTGGGGCTGACAGTTGAAGGGACAGCTCACTCTCCCCCTGGGTAAAGAAGAAAGGGAGTTAACACAGCAACTGCTGGTTTGTTCTTAGAAGTCATGCCTAAATGTTCATTGATTTCTAATTCCTAATTCCAACCCACTCCAAGATACAGCTACTGTTATCACAGTGGTTTACATAGACTTTAACACTTACAAAATAAATAAAAATTGAATAAATAAATAGACAAATAAATCTTCCTAAAGGTGAACTGCTATGGTTTGAGGGAGATGGACTCCTTGATTTTTTAATTCAACCATTCCCATACTTAGTAAGTCAAGGGTAGAAAATTATGTGTGAGAAACTGTTCCCCCAAATAGGATACCAGTACTGGGAACAAATCTTAGAACCACTTTTCTTGAGAAAAGCAAGAAAAATTAAAAAATAAGGCTAGGTATAGTAATGCACATCCCTGCAACTCCAGAGGCTGAGGCATGAGGATCACAAGTTTGAGGCCCAACTGGGCAACTTAGCAAAAACTTTCAAAATAAAAACAAAAAGTGCTGGGGATGCAGCTCAGTGGAAGAGTGTCCCTGGGCTCAATCCCTGGCACTCAAAACAACAAAATACAAAAAGTGAGAATGGTATAATATTCAAGAAAAAGAGCTCTTTTTATTGTCAATTAAAATATCAATTAAGTATTAATTAAAAATTAATATAATTAAAGTGTCTTTAGTCTTTCACAGATAATCCAGAACACTTACATAAGAGGCCAGGTATTTATTTCATGTGTAAGTAGAATAATATACTCAGTTTGTGGATTTATCCACATCCCTCTTCATTCTCATTTTCCTCTATCTATCTGCCCTCTTATAAAGCAAGATCTATTAACCCTAATATGAGGAATCCTCTGAAAGGTGTTCAACATTTTGAGTAGGTGTGCATTTTTTTTTTTTTTTCTGGAGATGAAATCCCTACCGTTTGCTAGATTTTGAAAAAGACCTGTCCACTCTCTCAAAGTCCCCTACAATACAATTGGTTTTCAAAGGTTGAGTTGAGCAGTAGATAATAATATTCATCGTTCTTGGTACCTAGAAATGAAAGATTTTATGAAATAGTCCTCTGGAACTACTGTCCAAAAGAAGAATTAAAAGATTCAATGAAATTGGGTGCATTCTCCAAAAGAATGGACTTAGATAAAAGATGGTTTGGGAGGTCCCAGAGGATTAAAGTTATCCATGTTTACTCTGTCTTCCTTCATATAAGATTTTACTAGTTTGAAAGCAAAAGAAAGGAAAACCATCATTTCATCACTTGTTGATTTTAACTGTATTAATTTAATGGTAATTCAAACATCAGGAGAAATGGATGTGTCTTCTTATTTATATTTCTGAGCAAACTGCTTACTTTGGAATTAATTAAAATGCAGGCTAGCTGCTACTACAAAATAAAATACCCACCAGAAGACGTGTAAGACATTGAAAATGAGATGAAAACTCAACTGATTTTGATTTTCAATCAAACTGGTGCTACAAACCTGTATCAACCCACTGTTTTAATTAGAAATTTCCCCAATCTTTCAATCTTCAGTTCTTAGCCACAGGCCTTTACACAGATAGCACTCACATACTTACTGGATTGAGTAAATTCTTTTGGTATCGCTCATAAATTAATGAGGAACCTGTAACTCTGTAAAGTTTCAGAGTAGTTAAAGAGAGAGAGAAAAAAGAAATGCTATGCAACAGAACTGGGACCTCAGGTGTTACTTAACAAACTAGAACACTTTCCAACAGTGCACTTAAGATATCAGCTATAGCAACCTTACCCAGGAATTCTTTACCCTAAGTTTTTTTCTAATGCAAGTTAGTTTGAATTTCGTTTTCCTCCCTCTTGTCCCTTCTGGTACAAAACAATACTACCCTACAGCAATTAGATCACCTGGCAAAAAGTATCTCAGCTAGGGCTGCAGCACAGAGGTAGTGCTAGAAGGTGTAAGGCCCTGAGTTCAATTCCCAGCACCACAAGAAAATTTTAAAAAGGTCTTTCAAATTTCATTTCCAAAAGGAAATGTGCATTTCCTATTGCATATTTCAAACCCCATTCCATTTTCATTCTGGGTTAGTCCCTAAGCTAACTTTAGTAAATACGTTTAAATATAATGCACATTGTTCCCAGTTTTCAAATAAGATAAAGCAGAATCTCAGCAACCCCTCCAAACGTTTCCATTTTTGTTGCTGCTGTTGACAAGAGTCTTCATTAAGTTTTTTTAAAAATTCTAGACTCTAGATCAGCCCACAGTATTCATCACACCAGGAAAAGAATCTCCCCCTCCTCACAGTGTATCTGGTGGTGGCCTTCTCCACAGCAGTAAATCCTTGCAGTTTTCTTAAGTTCACTGAGAATGTCCGGTTTGTCTCCTTGGGGGCCCGGTCCCCAGTACGTACCCAACCAGGCATAATCAATACAAGTAAATTGGTTTCCTGATAATGGCCTTTGCTACCTTCAAACACTTGGAGCCACTATTATGGTAGAGCACCTGCTACAAGGAGAACAATGAATTTTTAGGCAGGAAGCCAATACCAACTTTCAGGGCATAATTTTTTTTTTTTTTAAGCAGATTAGTGGAAGCACGGGGCCAAGCAGTGTTGTGTGATGTGCGGAGGGGCCGGGTCTCGAAACCGGTTTACCCTCCGTGGATTGCCCAGGCAGTCAAATGCCAGTAGAACCCATTCTGACACAGCCCGAGGCAGCGCTGGGCTCCAGAGAGAAGGCTAAAGGAATCGCTGAACGTTTTTTTGTTTTGTTAAATTGGATTTTGTTACAAACAGGCTAGAACTAAGAGGGACTCGATTCTGGCCACAGCAGGGCAAGTATGAAGTATGACAATATTTTGGAAGCAAGGGTCAGGGCGCATGAGAAATTATGAACACGAAACTGTAAACAGTAAAGAGCTGGGTTAGAACCAAAGGGACTTCCAGAGGCAAACGTCTAGTAAAAATCTCTCTGCAGAGGGTGAAGGGACCAGTTAGGGGAAAGCAAGGGAAAGCACACCCTGAGACTTTATCCCCGCAAGGTGTGGGCAAGTCAGATTTGTGGGTTATTAGTTTTAGAGGAGTGAGAAAGGCCTGAAGGTAAAGTCCGAGGCAGAGGGACAGACCCCCTGGGAGAGGCGGTGACCGCCCGAGCCCAGATCGGGTGGGCATCGGTGGCGTCAGCGCTCGGCGCCCGTTCCCCCCTGGGCGCAGAGCCCGAGGTACCCTGGTGAGCTCCCCCG